AATCCCCTTTAATAGTATAACTCAATGGTTATAAAAAAAATAATTTTAACTCTGGAGATATATCTAAAAGTATCTCCCTTTTTTCCCCTGTCAACAAAACTTGCACGTTGTCTCCCGTTTGACAATGACAAGCAGTGTGTGTTTAGAAAGTCATCCCTAATAATGTACGTCTTTATGTCTTAAAGACCATTTACGAAAGATTAACCTAAGAAACTATATCTATGACAATAAAACTACATTTTGAAATTGATTCTGATAAAAATCGGTACTAAACCGATGGCGAAAAATCCCCTTAGCACGTACCGTACATCACAAATCTACAAATAAAAACGAACGCGCCTTCGGTACAGCGAATAGCACAAAACTACCATTCAAACAAACGCGCCACTTACAGCGAATGACGTTTAATTTACAGACACCGTATTATCGTGTTCTGTCAACTGACTTCACGTCAAAAATATAACCTAACAAAAGGTTATATTTAGAAATAACAACAATAATAAAAATGATTACTTAATTAGGACAAGTAAACAAATTCGTTGAAATTGGCTTTTTAATTATTAATTCCCTCGAGGTAGAATTATATTCCATATAAGAAAGAAGCACGCATGTTCAGTGTGTCCAAGGTATCGTCGATTCGAGACAGAGGTAACATTGTTCAACTGACGCTAACCCACACGGAACCTCGTAGTTTCATATTTTTTTCTGGACTAGGACTACTGGAGCGACCTCTGCGACCGTCTTTTTTCATTTTCCGAACAATACTTCCAATTTCCTCTCTAAAACAGGTCATGATCAAACAAGACAGAGATACCAGTCATGTCCATGATAACTACGCACGGTTTTTAATTAAATCCAAACCAACATATTCGTACATTTTTCCAATGCCTACTTGTTAAACATTTTTTGTGCATCACTTTTTATACATAAAGGTGTCCACAGACTTGCGCATTCATTTTTGCTAGTATGTGGTAAAACCATTAATACAAGATTGTCAGTGTGTGGACAAGTATCACGCTTTGTTCGCATACATTTTGAGGACAGTTTCATGCGTATTTAGGTAAAATTTATTTTCTGATATCACGATGTCGGATTTAAGAAATTTTAGATTTTATAGTTTATTTAATTGAACTTTATAATAGTTATCCTTGTTTATGGAAAACCATAAACAGTAATTACAAAGACAGTGATAAAAGTTTTACTAAAAAAAAATTGAACCATATGCAACAAACAGCACTGTAGAAGCTGAAATAAATAGAATATGCGGCAGTTTACAAAGAAAATTGAATAAAATAGAAAATTCAAAACGATGCAGGCGCAGGAGCATACAAAATAGTAATATCACATTTATGGGTGTATTGTGACATTTTTAAAAGCTATTTTCACCCTATTTATCCGAATTTGTGGCTTTTGCACCAATTTATTTCATTTCTTTTCGACTAAAACAACGTACGCCGTTGCTAACAGAAAATAATCTTCTTAACTTGAATGACAAGCTAGTGTGTAGGTCTGTGGATAAAACCCTATTGTCATTCATGTACGTCAAACATGTATGACAAACATGAATGATGCCCATTTATGCTAGTTTCTGGGTACCTTAACTCGAAAATCATTAAAAAAAAATAATTCGGTTCTGTCTGGACGAAATAATTGCAATGCAATCTGTGTGAGCACGAATTATGTTTTTGTAAAATTTCTTTTTTCTAAGCCAATTATTGACTAGAACTACATTGTCACTGGAATTGAACAATCACTGTTTTAAAAAAAAAAATGTTAATTCTATAATTTTTAGAAACCCATAAAAGATATAAAGGCGCTTAACTCAGTTTACACATCCTCGGCTGTAACAACCTCCTCAGCTCAACAATAGTGTTCCTTCTACTTCTACTAACATAATTTAACACAAGAAAATACTATTTTTACGTCGATTCACGCTATGCAAAAATTAGCAGTAAACACATTTGGCAACAGAATAAAAAAATACAAAAACCTCAAAGCAATTTCTTTTTATTATACGCGTTTGTAGCAAAAATAAATTGCACCAAAAATATCCAACTTCTCTTTATCGCCCACCTAACCGACTCTCCCTAGCTCCGACGAACTCCAGCCGTTTAGGTTTTTTTCGTGTTTGTTTTGAAGTTACCCTTAAAAACGATAGATGTGTCTGAAAGATCGCGGACGGCCACGATCGTCAACAAATCTATGGAAATAAATGCAAAGACAAGTGAGTGAGAGCCAGACCATGGCTATGGTGACGGGGCTGTCGTCCGAATAACTGCTTTTACATCGATCCGCAGCCACCTCTTCTTTACAAAACCCTTCCTTCGGTGCATACTGGTTCGTACAGGGTCTTGCAAAAATATACAAACAAACAAAATATAGTCTTCATGAGTTAATGAGATTAAAACCATTTTTTTCTAAAACCTGTGCAGGGTGGGCTACTTAAAAGTTCCACCCCTCTTACCTTTGATACGAATTGAGATATCGGAATGATTTTTTTTTTTAAGTTTGGAGCAAGAACTTTATTATAACTGATTCAATTATTCTGCGACGTCATAACGAACTTCCGGATTTTTTGGAAATAACAATAAATCGCAACTTATTACTGAGGCCCTTCCTATGGGGCCTCAGTATTGAATTTGTACACACGACAAAATTTTCTTACCCTATTTTTTCACGTTTCCGATCATGCAACAAAAATTTTTCGTCTGGTCGTCTGTGCGTATGTTCATCCGAAATACTTTAATATTAATTTTCTTAAAATCCTCCCATACATTTATGTGACTAATGTGACTAATTATACGAATTCCAAGCATTCCTAACGTCTAACATTCCTAATATTCCATACATTGCAAACATTCTCCAACGACCTGTCAAACAGCAGTTGCTGATTGTAAAGGTGAGATTTCTAAGGGGGGGTTGCGACTTTCATAGTTGCAACCAGGGCCGACTAGAGGGGAGAAGTAGCCGGGACTAATTCTCGGAGCCCGGACTCAAATGGGGGCTCGGCAACCAGATTTTTGTCACAAGACGAGAGGAGGAAGTTTTTGGTTGGGAATTTTTTTTTTTTTAGAAAATTCAATTCAAGTAGAGGAGGAAAAGTCTTTGCTTGAGGAGCTTTTTTTTTTAGAAAATTTAATTCAAGTAAAGGACGAAAATTTTTTGCTTGAGGAGCTTTTTTCTAGAATATTCAATTCAAGTAGAAGAGGAAAAGTTTTTGTTTGAAGAGCTTTTTTTGTCACGAAGCCCGATCTAGAGAATTGTCCTGGGTCCCGTCCTGGCTCTCGGCGGCCCTGGTTGCACCTTATTTAAAATTATAAAAATACTAGTAGTTGGGTGTCCAAAATATGAAAAATCAAAAAATCGAAAAATCGAAAAATCGAAAAATCGAAAAATCGAAAAATCGAAAAATCGAAAAATCGAAAAATCGAAAAATCGAAAAATCGAAAAATCGAAAAATCGAAAAATCGAAAAATCGAAAAATCGAAAAATCGAAAAATCGAAAAATCGAAAAATCGAAAAATCGAAAAATCGAAAAATCGAAAAAAAATCGAAAAATCGAAAAATCGAAAAATCAAAAAATCGAAAAATCGAAAATTCGAAAAATCGAAAAATCGAAAATTCGAAAAACCAAAAAAACGAAAAATCGAAAAATCGAAAAATCGAAAAACCGAAAAATCGAAAAATCTAAAAACTGAAAAATCGAAAAATCGAAAAATGGAAAAATCGAAAAATCGAAAAATTGAAAAATCGAAAAATCGAAAAATCGAAAAATCAAAAAATCGAAAAATCGAAAAATCGAAAAATCGAAAAATCGAAAAATCGAAAAATCGAAAAATCGAAAAATCAAAAAATTGAAAAATCAAAAAATTGAAAAATCGAAAAATCGAAAAATCGAAAAATCGAAAAATCAAAAAATCGAAAAATCGAAAAATCGAAAAATCGAAAAATCTAAAAATCAAAAAATCGAAAAAATCGAAAAATCGAGAAGTTCAAATAGAAAAATCAAAAATCGAAAACTCGAAAAACCGAATGATCGAAAAATCTACAAATCAAAAAAATCGAAATATCAAAAACCAAAAAATCGAAAATCGAAAAATTTAAAATGGAAAAATCCGAATCGAAAATCAAAAAATCCGAATCGAAAGAACCGACATTTCACATTTGACATTATGTTTAACAACAAAAAAAATCTGTAGATTGTATTTTATTTTTTAAATAATTGAACGCCGTTATTGAAAACAGCCCAGAAATGTTGAAGGTAAGATTTGACAGTTCGGGACAAAAAGATTCTTATGACGGATTCAATGAGTCTGTGACATCATGGGTTGCTTCTGTTTTTTCGGACATATCAGTAAATCACAATACATTTTTAATTTTTAAATGGAAATCCCCATTTTATATTATTTATAAGAATCATCGTGTATTCAATATTTGTTATTAAAAATAAAATTATTTAATTTAAATTATTAAACCCGTTTTAATTATTATAGAAAAATGAATAGGTACTAGTGTAAAAAGGTTTGCTGGCACTTTTTCCTCATTTTGGTACCTAATAAGACTAGCTTCAACGTCTCAAAACATCTTTTAGAAAGGTTCTTCAAAGTTTCGTGAATAAATCGTAACACAAATATTAATAAATAAAAACAAGCTCACAATCGCTATTTTAACTAAACAAATTTAAAATAAAAACACACTACGCCATCTTACATAACAAGCCAAATGCTTACGGTGTCGTTTGTTTTTCGAGCCACTAAGTATAGCAAACCACGAACGATATGAACCAGAGAATCAAAGGCTCAAAGACATGCTTAGAGCTTTAATAGCATTGCTCGATAATTGCATTGTTCTTAGTATATTACCTCCTATAATAAATAAGTAAACCACAATAATACTGATACAAGCTGATAATTTACAATACAGCTAAATATGGTTTATGATCTTTATATAATTATGTATCAATTTATTTTTTGTTTTATAGGAATGCTAACAGACTATGAAGAAGATGCCCATTTTTGCATCAAATGTCATATTACAATTATTGGCCTAGATAACTATATCAACCACAGAAAAGCAGGTTGCTCCAAAAATGTAACAGAACCTCCCAAATCACCTCTACCCAGTCAACTATTACCTCCAGACGAATCTTTCAATTTAAAAGCTGATGATTTTTTCTCTTCTCTCGAACTAAGGAGTAGCTCTAAAAAGTCTGAAGTCCAATCTACGTCTGGGAAAAATTTTAGTGGAATTTTGACAAGAAGTAAAACTACTGCGGTGATACAGGCTTGTTCTACACAGTAAGTAAACATCTATTTAGATCTTGAAAAAATGATACCTATGTATGTAACAAACAGGAAAATTTCAGAACTGCCAAAGAACCTGAACCCCAACAGTCAAAATCTGGAAAAAACGTCTGGATTGGCGGTCATCAATTAAAAGAATTAGGATATGGAGACAACCAATCCAAACTCATTACAGCCGTCGATAATCTTGAAAGAAGAAAAGAGGAACCTCCAAGATTAGAGGTCTACGAAGATAGCGAAGAAGATTCGGAAGAATATGATTACGACGTTGAAGATAGTAGCAGCGATGATCAAGATGGACCTCCAAGACATCATACTGGTAAACCAAGAAAAAATTCATATTTTTTTAAACATTAATTTCTCCTATGTTTAACCAAGAGAAACTTATTTCTCTCATTCTTCTTTCTATATGCTTCATTTCAACTTCTTTTATCGTTCATTTTACTTTAAGGTGGAAAATGGAAACCATCTTCTCCAATCCAATGGTCCAGGAACACAGAAAGAGACTGGAATTATCCTCCTCCAAGTTTTACTGGAGGAAAATGGAAACCGCCACCAACTCACACCAAAGGAAAATGGAAACCAACTTTTCCGCCAAAAGAAGATTACAATAACCCACCGCCATCTTTTACAGGAAGCAAATGGGTTTCTAAGAAGACTGATGATCTCGATGTACCACCACCTACGTTTACTGGTAGTAAATGGGTAGCATCAAAAAAACAAGACCATGAAGTACCTCCTACAACACATACTAAAGGAAAATGGAAACCACGAGGCGAAGAAGAACAATATGCAACTGGTGGAAAAGGAAAATGGAGACCTCCAGAAAGCGCGGAAGAAGAAACACTTCTTCCAAATTGTACTAAAGGGAAATGGAAGCCTAAAGGAGATGAAGAGCAGTATGCAACAGGTGGTAAAGGCAAATGGAAAGCTGTTGAAAGTTTGGTGGAAGAAGAATCACTTCCACCTAATTACATTAAAGGTAGGAATTTTTCAAAACTATTTATTAATTTTTTGACGATTTTAAACATTATAGGAAAGTGGAAGCCACGTACCGATGATGAAGATTATCCCCGTTCATCTCAAGCCAAGGAAAAAACTAGAATCGAAACCGAAGATACTCCACCAGCTAATTACACGAAAGGAAAATGGAAACCAAAACCACCAGTTGAAACTAACATACAACCATCAACATCCAAGCATCAAATAGAAAGAGAAATACCAGAAGAAAATTACAGTAAAGGAAAATGGATACCGACATCAACCAACGAAACTAAATCTTCCAAAAAAATAACCGACAATTCCTTTGTCAGAAAATCAAGCGGATCTATTCAGTATTGGTGTAATCCTTGCAACAGGAGACTGGCCTCAAAAATCGTATACGAAAGACACCTGAAATCCGAGTTACACTTTAAAAGGACTTCCCGAGACAGAGAATTCGATGATACTGATGAACTATCTCTGATGACCCAAACAAGACGGACGAAACCTACACCACCTGAACACATTTTTAGTAACCAGGACACTGAAACTCAAAATAAGAAGAGAAAGAGGAAGAAGCAGTTCATAAAGTGTGAAGTTTGTCATTCGAAAGTCAAGAAATTCATGATTGGAAAGCATCTCATATCTCACTACCATTGCAGGAAGGGAGATATAAAATCAGAAACAGCAAAAAGTATGGTATTGGAAAATATTCATGGTAAATACTTATTTATTAATATTTCGTCGCAGTTATACTTATTTATTTATTATATTTGTAGGTATAGTTTTAGAAAGCCCCTTCCAGTGCAGCATCTGTAAATTTTACTGCAATACTCAAGAAGACTTTTTACGTCACTGGCTATCACCTGAACATATCAGCAGGCAAGCTCCTGGTTATTTCTTTTGCATCCTCTGCAAGTACCAGTCATTCGATACCAAACAAATGTATGATCATTTAATTTCTTCTGAACATATGGAGGTGGTATCTGTCATTAACAGATCTGTACCGATAGTGATAAAGAAGATGAATCCTACGCAATGCTCAACTTGTGGCCAAGAATTCCTGCTCAACGTACAACTTTTAAACCACTGCAAGAAACTGAACCACGAACATGCACAGTTAAAAAAATTTACAAACGAATACGTCTGTGATCTGTGCGGTGTAGGTCTTTTGTCCAATGAAGCACTTAGACGACATAAAAAGAATATTCATAAACAGAAGTACTACATTTGTACTATTTGCAATTTGAAATTTGATGATATCGCTGAAGCTAGATCTCATAGAACCTCTCTAGAACATAAGTATGCAAACGTGAAAAAGAATAGTAAGGGTGGAACTTTAAAGAAGTGTCAATATTGTGAGGCTGGATTTGCAAATTTTTTGTTATTGAAGAACCATTTGAACAGTGCTCATCCTGATCATAATATTAGGTAAGGAATTTTTGATTTATAATTATATAATGATAAAAATTAAACAAACAGATTAGTATAAATCGTATATTTCTTTAATAGGTGTCCACATTGTGGGGCTAACTTCACCATAGCCCAAGAGCTAACTTCTCACCTCCGTTTAAATCTCTGTAAATTCGAAGACAGGCCCGCGGTATCCGAAGACACTCTTCAGTGCGAAAGGTGTCCATATTTCTCGAACTCCGTCTCAGAATTGATATTTCACATGGCTTTACATGAAGAACCTCTAACGCTCTTCCATGAACCGTCCGGTTCCGAAGGCAAACAAGTAAAAATGCTCGTTAAATATAAGTGTCCGGTTTGTGAAAAAGAGTTTCCGAAAAATTCTTTGCACGCGCATATCAGACAGCATACTCAAGAGAAACCTTTCGAGTGCAAGTTATGCGGCAAATCCTTTGCTAGGAAAAATAATCTTCAATACCATGTAAGGAACCATGAAAAAAGCCAACAGGCCAAAGTGAAGGCCAAGGAAGTTTCACCGGATAAGGAATTTTTGTGTTACATTTGTGGAGCCAAATTCAAGAAAAGGTAAGTTATAGTTTTATTAGTTATGTTATCATAATATTCAAGAGGCTTATGCTTCGAGATATGCATTATATTTTGTTGTGGAACCTGTTGTTACTCGTAATACGTTATATGATATAAAGATACGTTGGGTGTCAAAATATGTTACCTTAATTGTTGTCAGTTCTAAAAAACCTTGGTAACACCCTTCGGCCTAGCTCAGACAAGTTAATGGCACTATCTTTATTTAAAGAGACAAAGGAAAAGTTGTTTTAATGCTCATGAACGCCATGTATTTAGGTGTTTAATAAATACAAATTATGCCATTAGCTTGCTAGCTGAAACAAAACAAAATTAAAATCCGTAATGAACTTTTAATATACAGGGTGAGTCGGGAGGAGCGCACCAAACTCTAGGAGTATATTATACACGTGAAAATAATGTAAAAAAACTCATATGTTCTTATCCGATTTTCATTTGTTTTCAAGTTATAGCATATTAACAAATAAACAAATTTACACATAAAAATTCTCTTATTCTAAATTTGAATAAGTATCTGGCATTTTGCAACACTAACAATCACATAAATTCGAAATTAAACGTTCAGTTACTGTTCACTGTACACTTCATCAAAACGTCAGAATTATCAAATGCCTTTGAGCCTTGAACATATGGCATACTTTGATAATGTTAAAATTCAGAAGTGGAAAGCTAGATGAACATTTTTAATTACGCCATAACTTGAAAAAAAATGAAAATCGGATAAGAACATATGATTTTTTTTACATTATTTTCACGTGTATAATATACTCCTAAAGTTTGGTGCGCTCCTCCCGACTCACCCTGTATATAATGAACACGGGAAACTGTCTACTTGACTTTACTATCACAGTACAATAATATGAAAGTTCTACAATATCTGTGGCGGTTTGCCCGTAAGGGCACTTGGACACATGCCCTAGTATAATAAACCAAAAAAAAAATAACTTACATATTTTATATTTTCCTCAATGCCTTTTATTATTTTATCTAATATTCAGCGCAAACTGCGTTCCCAGAATTCCGAAATTAAGGTGGGCACAGTAAATGTGTGCCTTTGTTGTTTTATCTCTCATTATAATGCCAAAAACAAGGACAACGACAATATCACTTAGCAAGAGATGAACACATGCGATGGATTGTACGTCACAAGCAGGGCGCTGTCCCATGGCACAGATTACCTAGACCAGATACGAATGTACGCAGCGGCTTCCTCACAAGGCGATGAGGTGCGTGTTTGTTGGACCATGATAATAATTTATTTATTGTGATTAGGAAAAAACGTTAGTTGTACCATTGGAATAGTTAAGAAATAAAACAACAAAGAAAAATAACTTTTTCTTTATAAAGCAGTCAAATATATGATGAAAAAAAATCAATAATATGTATAAATGGGACAAAACTTTAATTTTTCTTTTGGTTTTGTCTGACTTTTTCGAGGATTTCAATTCTCTGTTTGCATATTTAAGAGTATAAAAAATGCTGAGTCTTATAAATAATTTAATGGTGAACATTTTCGCAAATTGTTGGTAAGGATGACCAAATTCTATTTTGCTCATCTCAAAAAGGTATGCGTTGGAAATTCCAGGCTTAGTTGACAAACTATCAAATAGAGATATAAATATTTTTTCTAATTCGAAAATATAAAAGAGAAATTTTTCGCTGGGAGATTTTAAATTGCCAAACACCTTTTCTTCAGAGTCGTATGCTTTAAAATGCGTTAACAAGTTAGAATTGTTAAGTAAATGCATTCTTCTGAGAAATTTACGCAAATTTCGCAAGAGTGGATATGTAATGATTTTTTGATTAAATAGCCACATACATAGTTAAATGCATTCTGAATAGTCACATTCAGAAATCGGTATTGGCCCAACTGATTGTTTTGAAATGTATATAATTTTTATTAAGCGGAGAACTTGTTTTCCTAGGGGAAAAACGAATCCCGGTATTCCTTTCCAGTGTGTGCCCCACTGCCGCTAGTGCCCACGATCCGCCAGTGTACATTATCGAAAATAAATTAAGATGATTAAGTTAAATTAAATTTAAAATAAAAAGTGACTTCATGGACAGACAGATATATTAAATTTATAAAATGGAACGTGACTTAATGTACAGGTAAAAATGCTCAGGTGTCGGGCGACACTTATCTGATTCGGGTAGACAGTCGAGGAGTTTTAGCACTTCAGTGGGACGTTGTTAAAAGAGTGGCACCTCCTGAGTGTTGCCAGGTCTTTCCAGGGACCCAAAAGAATTTGGTAAAGATGCCTAATCTCTTCTGGTTGACTCTAGTGGCGTGGTGCTCGCCAGGTCTACTTAGCGATTGTGGTGCTATTTTACTAGCTCTCCTGGTCTACTGGTTTATTTTACTACCATTCGTGTGATGCTCTCCCGATCTCCTCTTTATAAATAAAACACTTTGTCAGTCATTAAAAACCTTTCCATCTCCTAAACACGTGTTACATAAAAAGAAAGTATCAAAAACTCAAAATAAGTACATTTAAAACAAATAAATTATTAACATTACAGCGATTAATTAGATTCGCAATAGTATTTCAGTTACATTGTTAAAAGATGGAAAAATCGAATATATAGATAAAAAACTAATATGGCCGCCTTTCAACAACGTGGTTATAAAAACGAAAAAACATTTTAGTGTTAACAAAACAAAAGACAATTCATCAAATTCACGTAATAATCTACAAAGCCAGATATTAAACCTACAAAGTCACTTATCGAGCAATTCCAAATATATTAAATAATTACCTTTAGTCAACGAATAACACAAACACCTAAACCTGAACATAATGTCAAAAAGTAAAAGAATGCTGACCATTTCAAACGCTATTAAGTACACGATTGCGTCGCAAGACTGCAAAAAGAGGAAACATGATTATACCAGGCTAATTGTTGAAAGTTTTAACATTTCCGAATTGTGGAAACAGGAACGTTTATGATAACGTTACACTGTCCCACTTTTTAATGCTTTTATCTACTATTCCGATCACCTTGAGTTAGAAAACAAAAAATAATATAGTTTGATCGTCGGTGCATGCGTATGTCTGTGCGTAAGCGACACGATAACTTTTGAAACTCCGATCGACCTGCGATTTCCACTGTACTTAACTTATTTCTTCCAGCCGTAAACCTTATTAATTTTCAAAATTTTCAGTTTAATTTTGAATATCAGCATTTCTTTTATAATTAAAGACAGACTATAAAAATGTCACTTTTAATAACAGTTATAGGATATAGTAGTTTGTGCAACAGTTATTATGATGGCCATGGCTCACAAATACGGTGCGATACATACAATCCACTTGATTTGTACAGTAGGTATAGTTTTTCTATGACTAACTAAATAAAAAGTACAGGTTATTAAGATAAACTATTTTAAAAATATTTAACACAAATATTTTTATTTTGAAAACATGTTAATGAATAATCTCCAATTCCCCTACTAAATTATAAAAAAATAGACCCTTGTATCCCAAAAGTGAAAAAAAAACAAAAGAAAAATTGAAAAACTGAGAATTAAAGAAACAAAAAACGAGTGAATCGACAAGGAGTCAAAGCTGGGACCTCGGACTTTAGTCGTTCATACTTTACCAACAGAGCTAATAATGCACATATGCTTTGATATCCTAATTCATAAGTTTGAAGTCAATTATATTCTGACTTTCATCGGTGCACCCAAATTCCCATCCCATCTCAGCTCCTTCCATTCTTCTTAAAGCCACCCCTGTGACATCGTGTAGAAAGGACGACAATCTAAAAATTGTACTAAAATACATTCCTAAGATCCTTTTTTCGTTCACTATTGGCAGGTTTTTAGGTACGGTTCGCTGTAAACGTAAAAATGAAAGAATGGTGAACGAATGATCTTATGTTATGGGGTGTAATACACTGCGACCTAAAAGTTCTATTTTGCCCTCTTCCAATCATATCTTCGCTCGCAAGGAAGTGTGGGATTTGGAGTGGCTTCAAGTTAGGTAAATCTCTCTTTTCTATTTTATATGCTCTTAGGTATAGTGCCCTTGGATTATGGAGTGCTACATATTCAGTCAGAATGCGAATAGAGGTTTCGTCATCCTCCTCAGAGAATCTGCACTCACTATCTTCTATTATTCTCAGTTTACTAAGTTGTCCTTTGAGTCGGCAATACCCAGTAAGGATCCCTGTTATAATACGTAGCCTGTCTTGCTCAGGCAGATAAAGGCTTTTAATTTTTTCTGGTTATATTCAACCAGAAGTATCTTGGCCTGTCTTAGCCCCAAGATATTGTTTCAATTATCGGTTCTTCTACTGCCTAATTCGTTTTTAATCTCTCACAAAGGATGTCACAGCTTCTTCCTTGCGATAATATCTGCAATCCCGTTACTCTGTACCCTATTACCTCGACTACTGTATCGCAGGTGTCTACGCCGTCGCATTCATTTGCGAGCCAATTTTCTGGTAAAACGAGACACAGTTTCTGATCCTACGGAAGACCATGTGAATTTATTTGCATGGTTCTCTATAGGATTTGATGGATGCCGTATTAGCAGAAATTTAATTTCTGTTGATATAACATCCAGATTATTAAAAATCACCATGTGTTACTGTTTTGGATGATGGTGGGTGGAGTTTTCCGGGTTTTTCTCACCTGTAATTCAAATGGCACCATCAATCATCTTTAAGTTGCCCCGGAGCGCCATGGCAAATAATAATAATAGCCGTTCCTTTTCCTGAGCTGAGCTGAGCTTTTGGGGTTAAAATTCACTCGTAAGGGGGTAAATTAGAGAGAGTATTATTATTATTATTATTATTATTCCCGGGTCCCAGTAAGGGGACCTATATTTTCCTTGCATAGCTCATTCAATTTTTCTAGTCATCTCCAGACCATTTTTGACCTGATTACGTAAGACCTCAGCGCTTTGATCGCTGCTTAGCTATCGGACATGATGAGAGTCTCTTGTCTACAATAATTTTTCTCGATGTTAAACTGG